GGCTCCAGGCTCTGAGCCATCAGTACAGAGCCCGACGCGCGGCTTGATCATGACCTGAGCCGAAGACGGACGCTTAACCGACTGAGCCACCCAGGGGCCCCTGGAGATAGGATTTTTAAAGAGGTAATGAAGTTAAAATGAGGTCTGACTGGCGTGTTTATGAGCAGGGGAAGTCTGGACGTACAAGGAGACACCAGAGATGTGCAGGCAGAGAGGAAAGGACGTGTGAGGAGAGGACGCAGCAAGGAGGTGGCTATTTGCAAGCCGAAGAGAGATGCATCAGCAGAACCCCCCCCCCCCCCCCCCCCTCCCCGCCAACATCTTGGACTTGTAGCTTCCAGAACTGTGAGAAAATAGTTTTCTGTTGTTTAGGCCACTCTGTCTGGTATTTTGTTACGGCGGCCTGTGAGATTGTGATTTATACTAAGAAATCTATGTATTTGGTCACAGTCCAGTTCCTGGCACAGGGCTCCAGAAACCCTTGGAATTTCCTAAAGGAAGAGAGACCAAGGTGTCTCTTGTTATGTTAATGAGGTGACTGTTTTTGGACCCCACCTAAGGCTGGGCTGCCCAGAGAACAAACCACACGATTAGAGGGTTGGACTTTCAGTCCCTCACCTCCCCACTCCAGCCCCATCCCACCTCTGGGAGGTGGTTGAATCAATCCCCAACGGCTGATGATTTCATCAGTTCATGGCTATGTCGTTAAAGCCTCCATAAAACCCCAAAAGGACAGGGTTGGGAGAGCTGCCGGGCTGGTGGACACGTGGCGATGGGGTGACAGCAGTGTCTGGACTGGGATTGGCAGCCCTGTGCCTTTCCCCATGCCTTGCCCTCTGCATCTCTTCCATCTGGCTCTTCCTGAGTTATGCCCTTTATAAGAAACTGGTGCTCCAGTGAGTAAATGGGTTTCCTGACTTCTGTGAGCCGTGCTAGTAAATTCACCAAACCCAAAGGGGATCGTGGGAATCCTCTGATTTATAGCCAGTGGGTCAAAAGTGCAGGTAACAGCCTGGGATTGGCCTTGGGGATTTTAAAGTAGGGGGTGGGGCAGTCCTGCAGGACTGAACCCTTAACCTGCGGGAGCTGACTCTATTTCCGAGTACACCGGGTCCGAATTGAGTTGGATTTTCATACACCCAGCTGGCGTCCAGGGAATTGTTTGGTGGGCCCAGGAACCTAAAAGACAGCCCTAGGAAACCAAAATACCACCCCGCAGTCCGGAACTGGACCTGGCCGATCCCAGCAGCGCCTCAGCCAACCCACAAGCCCAGGAAAGTAGAAATAAACCCTCAACATTGTAAGTCACCGAGTTTTGGGTGTCGCCACCCAGCATTATTGCAGGAGGAAAAACCCGACGAGTCTAATGTCTGATTTTTCCCTTGGCCACTTTTGACAATTTTCCTTGTTAGCCACGATATGATGCCCCAGTAATGTATTCATCTAAACAAACGTTACTGCCTGCATATCCTAACATCTTCAGCTATGTGGAAACTGTGTCTGCTGCTGCTAGCAGAGCAGTCCGGGACCAGGTCGGAACAATGGGGTCAAAATGTACTGCTGGACGTTTCTGTAGCTAATACCCCACTCGCCTCTGACTGGCTGTGTCCACACTATTCCTGCCCACCTGGCTGGGAGACCTGGAGGGCAGGGCTCCTGTCTGCTGCGTCCCTGGCTTCCCAGCATTTCTCATGCTAAGGTAGTGAGTAATAAATGGATCCCTCGTGCCACGTAGAGCCCAGGACTGAGGCAGTTGCCTTTCAGATGAAAATCAAATCGATGTGCAAGACTCTCCATGCTCCGGCCCCAACATACTCCCCCAGCTCCGTCTTGCCCTGCTCTGCCCCAGATTTGTGTCTTCAGCAGGGCCAGCGGGGCCCACCAAGCCCTGTGTGAGTCTCCTACTCCTGCAGCCATCCTAGTCCAGATCTTCCTTCCCTTCTGTGTGATAGCCCAAGCGGCTTCCTTCAGTTTCTCTATCATGCCATGGTCCTCACTACCACAGGGCCTTTGCACATGCTTTTCTCTGCCTGGAATGCTGTTCTACCACCCCTTTTACCTAGTTTACACTCAGTCACCTTTCATATCTCAAGTCTGAAGATGCTTCCTCAGGGAAGCCCTCTCTGACTTCTCTAGATGAGTGCAGTTTCCCTCTGTTGGTCAGTTCGACCAGGTACCTCCTCATTGCACTAAAACATATTAACGTGGCCATCTGGGGCGCCTGGGTGGCTCTGTCGGTTGAGCGTCCGGCTTCGGCTCAGGTCATGATCTCGTGGTTTGTGGGTTCGAGCCCCGTGTCGGGCTCTGTGCTGACAGCTAGCTCAGAGCCTGGAGCCTGCTTCAGATTCTGTGTCTCCCTCTCTCTCTGCCCCTCCCCTGCTCATGCTCTGTTTCTCTCTGTCTCAAAAATAAATAAAGGATCAATCAATCAATCAAGTGGCCATCTGACTAACGTCTCCCCATTGTAGCATGTCACATTCATAAGGACTGGAATTTGTGACACTTGAATGAGCTTTCATGCACTCTCCCTGCTTGCCCACTGACTATGGACCAGTGCTGGTCCAGGTGCCCCATCAAAGTGCCCCGCAGCCGGCTTCAAGCACACCTGCTCCGATGAGTTCTGCTCCCCAGCTTGGGGAGGCACTCCCCTTCCAAGTTCGACCTTCCTCAGGTGCTCTCTGTAGCACAGCTTTTATTCTCTTTCCATCTTTGTAGTCACCTTCCCGCGTAGGCCGGCCACTTCTTGTTTAAGTTCCTGTGTGGCTTCCGTCTCCTGGTTGGACTCGGATGGAGACAGCTCACTGGAATCTGAGGCTCTTCCTCCCCTGCGCTCCTTCCTCCCTTCCCTCCTCCCACAGGGCTCAGACCGGCACCACTGTCTGAGGGTTCTCAACCCCCCCTCCCACTCCCTCTCTTTTCTGTCCTTCACAGACGTCACCCCCTTAACTCTCCACGTTTAATTCCTTCTTGGCATTTGCTTCTAGGAGGACCAAGCTGACGCATCTTCCCTTCACACTTAGAATAAGACCCCATGGAGGCACCTGGCTGGCTCAGTCAGTAGAGCACATGCCGCTCAATCTCAAGGTTGTGAGTTCAAGCCCCATGTTGAGCATGGAGAAATGAATACATGAATGTATGAATAAATGAATATTAAAAAATCCGATGAGGCCCCCATATAATCTGCTTTCTACCCCAAGCCCAACCCTGCTCCCCAGCACACATTCTCCAAGTCATTCCACTCCAGCCCCTGTGGCCTTCACGAGGTCCCACACACAGACCAGAATCCCACCTCAGGATCTTTGCCCTTGCTCTTCTTCTTCTTCTTCTTCTTCTTCTTCTTCTTCTTCTGAAGATTTTATTTTGGGGGCGCCTGGGTGGCTCAGTCGGTTAAGCGTCCAACTTCAGCTCAGGTCACAATCTTGCACTTTGTGAGTTTGAGCCCCGCATCAGGCTCGGTGCTGACAGCTCAGAGCCTGGAGCCTGCTTCGGATTCTGTGTCTCCGTCTCTCTCTCTATCCCACCCCCACTCACACTCCATCTCTCTCTCTCTCTCTCTCAAAAATAAACAAACATTTAAAAAAAATTAAGATTTTATTTTATTTTTTTTTATTTATTTAAATGTTTTTATTTATTTTTAGGAGAGAGAGAGACAGCGTGAGCAGGGGAGGGTCAGGGAGAGAGGGAGTCACAGACTGAAGCAGGCTCCAGGCTCCGAACTGGCAGTCAGCACAGAGCCCGACGCGGGGCTCGAACCCACGAACCGCGAGATCATGACCCAAGCGAAAGTCGGACGCTTAACCGACTAAGCCACCCAGGCGCCCCTTAAGATTTTATTTTTAAGGAATCTCTACACCCAACGTGGGGCTCGTACTCACAACCCCGAGGTCAAGAGTTGCATGCTCCACTGACTGAGCCAGCCAGGCACCCCGCTCTTCTGCCTCTGATACAGGGTTTGTTCCCTCGTGTCATCGGATGCCAGCGCCTCTAAAAGGCCTCCACCTACCACCTCCCATCTCCTTTTAACTCTGTCCCTTTACCCTGCTTTGTCTTGTTTTTTCGCAACACTCACTTCCATATAACATACCGTATGCTAGACTCACACATTTGTTTTTCTGTCTCCCTCCATAAAAGAACCCTGCCACTATGCGCCTGGAGACGGATTCACTGCTGCATCGCCATGGCCTGGGTTAATACCTGGCACACAGTAGGTGCTCAATAAATATTTGTTAATTGACTGGATAAAGGAGTGTATTTGCCTTTGCTCAAGCCACTCCCTCCACTTGGAAAACCTTCCCTTCCTCTCTTTCCTTTTTTTTTTTTGATATTTTCTTTTCTTTTTAAAAAATTTTTTTAATGTTTTATTTATTTCTTTTTTTTTATGTTTTATTTATTTCTAGGAGAGAGAGAGAGAGACAGCGTGAGCAGGGGAGGGTCAGAGAGAGAGGGAGTCACAGACTGAAACAGGCTCCAGGCTCTGAGCTGACAGTCAGCACAGAGCCCGACGCGGGGCTCGAACCCACACACTGTGAGATCGTGACCTGAGCCAAAGTCGGACGCTCAACTGACTGAGTCACCCAGGCGCCCCCCTTCCTCTCTTTCCTAAGACCACATACCTGTTAAGACTAAGCCCTAGTTCCTACTCCTCCAGGAAGCCCTCCCTGACTAGCTGGACTCTGGGCCCCTGGAAGGTGGCCTATTCCTCTCCTTCCCTCACTACACTGCTTGATTTTATTTAATTGTTAATGTTTATTTAGTTTTGTGAGAGAGAAAGAGAGCATGAGCAGGGGAGGGGCAGAGAGAGAGAGACACAGAATCGGAAGCAGGTTCCAGGCTCCGAGCTGTCAGCGCAGAGCCCGATGTGGGGCTCGAACTCACGAACCACGAGATCATGGCCTGAGCCGAAGGCGGACGCTTAAGCACTGAGCCAGCCGCGCGCCCCTACACCGCTTGACTTTAGATATAATGAAGGGTTTGCGGCCAGTAAAGACGGCGGCGGAGACTGCAGGCAGAAGAGAACAGACCAGCTTTATTGGGATTGAGAGGAGCGAAGGGCCCTCTGCGGGCCCGAGGCCAGGGTGGAGCTCAGGGAGAGCAGCCAGGATGCCCGGATGCGTCACTTCTTCCACTCCTTCTTCTCATAGTCCCACCGGGAGGCCAGGCCTTGCACGGGGTTGCCCTTCATGTCCAGGACGCGCTGGAGCTGCCGCGCCTTCCACTCATCCGTCAGGGTGACGGGCTTCTGCGGGAACACTGCGGGGAAGGCACGGGGTGCGGACGGGGGGGGGGGGCTCAGGACCCTGACTGCCCCACCCCACCTCCACTCTGTCCCCCTGAGCCGGGGTCTCCAGCTGCAGGATTAGGGGCTGAGAAGCCCTTCCACCCTGTCTGCCCCCCCCCTCCCCCACCAGACTTCCTCCTGAAGCTTCACTCCGGGACCCCCGGGTTCTGGTCCCAGCTCTGCCTCGGACTCGCTGTGGGAATCGGTCCAAGGTCCTTCCCCTTCCTGAGCCTCCGCTTCCTTACTGTGCGGCCCAACGGTACTGGGAACGCGGATTCACAGTTGGCCTGGATCCAAATCCCAACCCCACCCTCGCTTGCTTTGTGACCTTGAACAAGTCACTTCATCTCTCTGAGCCTCAGTTTCCTTCCCTGTCAAGACCAGGTCCTGACTGTTAGGCCTGTGGCGACTGAAGCAACTGGTACAGTGTGGGGCAGATACGAAGTACTTTGTCCGTGGTAGCTATTGTAATTACTGAGCTTGCTCCCCCTGACTGGGGAGGGCCCTGGATCAGACAGCTTCTTTTGTTTCCTGGGGGTGGGGGTGGAGGTAGGAGGTAGGGAAGGGGTGTTAACCGTTTAAATCTGGGGAGGGCAGGGCTCCCGGGTGGCTCAGTCGTCCAGCATGTAACATCGGCTCAGGTCATGATTTCATGATGCAGGAGTTCAAGCCCCACATCAGGTGAACCCTGCTTCTCTCTCTCTCTCCCTCTCTTTCTCTCTGCCCCTCGTGGGATTCTCCCTCTCTCTCTCTCGCTCGCTCTCTCTGCCCTGTGCTCACTTGTACTCTCTCTCTCTCAAAAAATAAATGAATATCTTTTTTAAAAAAAATCTGGGGATGGCAGTACTTAACTCAAAGGCTGAAGCACTCAAAAGGCACTTAGATAGATGCCTTGACACGTGCATCAGGGGAGGTCTGGGGGCAGAGCTCCCTACGCTGCTCCTACCTTACTTCCTGGTCCATCTGCCCCTGAGCCTGGCTCGGCCTCCCTGAGTCACTAGTACTTTCTCTCCCGGTGTGTGGTTAAGAAGGAAAAGATATTTACGGGTACCTGTTAGCACCAAACACTGGGCTAGACTCAATTTTTTCCCAAAGGCTCTCTCCTTTCACCCTCATGCAAAGCAGGGATTCACATCACACTCTTACAGAAGAAGAAAGAAGGCGAGGCCGTCGGAGGTGAGGTCAACCGGGGCAGGGACTGCCCGCTCTTCCCCAACATCCCCTCCACTTCTTCCAGAGCGATGTTTCTCAAACCTGAGCAGGCATCGGAATCCCTCTGGGGAGCTTGTTAAAACACTTATTGCTGGGCTCCACCCTCGGAAGTATCAGACTCGGTAGATCCAGCCTGGGGCTGAGAATTTGCATTTCTAAAAGTTCCCAAGTGATGGATGGTGTTGGTCCTGGGTCTCACACTCTGAGACTCGCTCTTCAGTGGTAATAAACAGCTGGGCACGTGACTGCCCAGCTAAAAACTACATTTCCCAGCTTCCCTCGTGGCTAGAGCCAGTCATGTGATCACTCCTAGCCAACAGGTGGTGAGCAGAAGGGGTGTGTGCAACTTCTGGACCTTAAAGAGGAGTGCATCCTCTCTTTCCTTCTACTTGGGTGGAATGTAGGCTTTAGTGGCTGGAGCCGCAGCAGCCATATTATCAAGAAGAAAGCTTCAAGTTAAGGATGTCAGAGCAACACGAAGGAGCCTGACATTGCAGGGTCTCGATACTCCCCCAGGCCTTTTTTTGAGAGAGGAACAAAACCTGTATCTTGTTTAAGCTCTTGTACGTTGGAGACTCTGTTACAGAAAAGTTGAGGGTTAATAACAGCAACTGGTAACATTACCATTCGTGATTATATGCCAGACGCTGGCTTTCAGCTCTCTCATTCGATCCTCACAAACCCTGTGATGTGGGCACTATTATTTTCATTTTACAGACGAAGGAATTGAGGTCCAGAGAGGCAGAGCCCCTACATTCCAGCGTAGGCAGCTGTGCTATGCCCTTCACCCTACACCTCTTTTCGAAACTTTTCAAAACTCTCCAGACGAGCGCCAGCACAGTCGCTTTGTAAGAGCTTGGCTGGTGGCTCTGACCACAAGGGTAGGGCCCAGGGCTGTAGCAAGGTGAGGGGTTGCCACTCACCGTAGATGCGCTGCCACCAAATCATCAGAGCCGTGAATCCAAAAAAGAAGAAGACGCAGCCCATCACTGTCTTCCACTCATTGGAGCGACGGTTCATCTCCGCGAAGGTCTCATGGAACTGGAGCCGGTACACTGGAGGCAGATGAAGGGTGAGGGGGTAGGGGTCTCGGGTGCATCTCTTCCAAGGACCCGGGACCAAGTCTTGGCCTCAGGGGTCCCCAGCTTCCCCCTCCCTGCAGCAGGTGCTGTCCATTCAGCAAATTCTTATTTGGGGGCACCTTACCTGCCTCTCTGTTCCCTCCCCCCACACCGACTCAGCGATGCCCACACTTTCCTCCTCCTGTATCCTCCCCATGCCATTCCCACTACCAGGCAGCACCCTCCTCCTCATCATTCAAGGCCAGCCAGAGAGTGCCCTCCTCCGGAAGGCCCACCAGGATTCCATGTCTCTCCTTCAGGTCCTCACGACCCGTTGGACACATCTCACCCTGGCCACAAAGCCTCTATTACAGTTATCTGGGTTTGTGTCCGCTCCCCCCACTGGCCTGGAAGCACCTCAAGGGCAGGAACCATCTGGGGAAGTCACTCCCGTACCCCCAGCATCAGCTAGCATCTGGGCGTGCACAAGCGGTTGAACGGATAAAAGAATAAGTGAACAAAGGAATCAACTTCACCCTTCAGGGAGGCATGCAGGTGCCTGGGGGTTTCTGGCTGTCTTGAGTGGGGGCCCTTCTTTTCAAAGTCACCCCCTACCCCAGCCCCCTCTCCCCAGCCAGCCCCACCCTGGTACTTACAGGCCACCTTCTCATCATGGCTTAGCTGGGTCCAGCTGCCCTTCTCTTTCTCCTTCAGGGCCCGCTGCTCAGCAGTGAGCTCTGTGCAGAAGGGCTCGTCAGGCATGGGGTAGGAGCGCTGGGCATGGTAGTTGGTGTAGGGGGGCATCTTCTCCTTGCTGCGGGCTGCAGGCACAACAGAAGAGCTGAGTTCAGGCTGCACCTGGGACATCCCAGCTCTAACCATAATATTGGAAAAGAGGGTGGCTCAGTTGGTTAAGCGTCCTGATTTGGGCTCAGGGTATGATCTCGTAGTTCACGAGTTCGAGACCCACATCGGGCTCTCTGCTGTCAGCACAGAGCCAGCTTCGGATCTTCTGTCTCCCCTCCTCTCTCTCTGCCCCCCCGCTGCTTGCTCTCCCTCTCTCTCAATAATAAACATTTTTTTTTAAAAGGAGGGGTGCATTAATTGAGCACTTACTTTGTGCCTGGAGCCACTCTAAGGCCTTCAGGTGAATTGACCCATTTACTCCACCTCACTCTGAGCCAGGCGAGACTGTTATCTCTCCATTTTACAGACAGAGAAACTGAGCCTATAAGTGACTTGCTGCAACTCACAGAGCCATATGGAGCACAGCAGCCCCTCTGGCTTCAAGCCTTGTGGGAAGAGGTGAGGTAAGGAGGGCATGCCAGGCGAAGGCAATGGGTGGACGAAGGCTGAGTGAGACGGGCCTGACGTGACAGATCAGATGCGCACCTGCTCTGCAAACTGTAAAGCGCTATCTGCGTGCCTCTGACCACCGGTCAAGGGCACGGCTTTGCAGTCAGCCAGGTTTGAACCCCAGTGCTGCCCACTGCAGCTCCAGCGAGCCCCTTGACCTCACTGTGCTTCAGTGTCCGCATCCGGAAAATGGGGGCGATAAGCGCCCACCTCAGGCTGTCATGGGAAGCCTCGAGATGATACACTTGAAAGGCTTAGTGTAGTGCCTGGCGCAAATGCTCCGTAAATTCTTTTTTTTTTTAATGCTTATTTATTTTCATTTTTGAGAGAGACAGAGCACAAGCAGGGGAGGGGCAGAGAGAGAGGGAGACACAGAATCTGAAACAGGCGCTGAGCTGTTAGCACAGAGCCCAATGGGGGGCTCAAACCCACGAACCGTGAGATCATGACCTGAGCTGAAGTCGGATGCTTAACCCACTGAGCCACCCAGGCAACCTGGTAAATTCTACTGCTAGAGGTCGGTTTTGCGGCTGGCTTCCTTTCCTAGAAGCCTTCCCTGATGGCTAAGCTGCCAAGGGCCCCGTGTGGGTGTCCAGGGTGTCTGGAGCAAGGCTGGGCATGAGGGGGACCTCGATAAAGCTTCTGGTTATTGTCACCAGAGGTGCCCACATGGAAGGCATTGGTACCACCTCACCAGAACAGCATTGGAACTGCTTTTGGCTCTTGTAATATCTAGGCCTCCGGGCCTCAGTTTGTTCATCTGAAAAATGGGGAGAAGAACTCAGCATCCACTTCACATGGTTGTTATGAAGACTGAGGGTTTTAATCTGTGTGAAATGTTGATCACAGCATGGGGTGCATCGTAAGGGCTCAATAAACGTTATCTGTTATTCTCCCAAGGGTCAGGAAGGCCCTTCTGCTATATGGAGGAAGTCTCTCCTGCTTTAGGCCTCTTTTTTTTCTGATTAGGGCTGGGAAGGAGGTCCAAGTTCCCTCCAGAACACACCACCTCAGGACACAAAGGCCTTTCTTTGGGTTTAGGGGTCAGGCCCTGAGGAAGCTTGGGGTGGAAGGGGGCCACTATCAAATGAGAGCTCCGTTTCCTGGAGGCACGTGGCCCAGGCCCGAGGAGTGGGATTGTGGGAAACAGTCTAGGGCAGGCCCAGGGCAGCCGGCAGGCGGGAGCCCACCCCTACCCCTGGAGCTGGACAGGGGTGGGGTGTGCGGGTCTTACCGGCGCTTCCTGGGCTGTGCATCTGCCGAATCCCAGGCCCTCCTTTCCTCAACGCCAAGCTCCAAGCAGCTCTGAAGAACATCTGGGCACATGTGCATGAGTGTGCATGCGTGTGTGCGTGTGCGTGTGTGTGAGTCTTGCCCCACATTGCCCCCTGCCCCTACCCTCAGAGCCCAGCCAGAGAAACCCTTTTTCACAGGTGGGGGGGGAGGGGTCCCAGGAGTTCAAGGTCATCTTCATGCCCCTGACCCTTCTGCTTTTGTCTGCGATCCTGATGGGGGGAGATGGGGGTTCTAGACCTTCTAGACATGTGGAGTCCGCCTCCTGGGACCTCAGTGAACCATCTGAGAAGTGGGAAGAGGGCTAACCACCCAGGCAGGGTCCCAGCAGTTGAGGGCTGAGGGCCTGGGCTCTGGTTCCAGCCCCAGCTCTGCTGGGCCAAGCTGGGAAAGCTCCCTGGGCTGTTTGCTCTGCCTCCGGAGGAAACTGGGTGTGAGTCCAGGTGGGGGTGGGGGGAAGGGCAGGTCCTGGGGCTACCTCTCTTCTTCACCGGGCCATCTGCCAAGGTCTCTGCACAGACGGGCTGGCCCCCACCCCTTCCCCCCTAATTGGCTGCCTACGTGCTCACAATGCCTGCTCTGCTGCAGATCTGGCGGGGGGAGGGGACAGGCGGAGCCCAAGCCCCCATTCCCCCAGGGAATCTCGGAGTCTGGCGTCCCGTGGGGGTGGGGAGGGGCTATAGAGGAGGACAAGGACCAAAGTCGGTCAAAAGGAGGAAGAGGAGCACACAACAGAGAAGAAGGGGGTAGCTCACTTCTGGAAAGAAAAAGGGCTCCTCCTCATGCATATGGGGAGAGGGCCACCCAATAGAGAGAAGGAGGGGGTGAACCGTATGTGGTAAGTGAGAGGGCGCCCCCACATCTGGGAAGGAAGGGCTCCTGTCCGTAAGTGGGGAGCCCCCCATATGAAGAGCCCCACATTTGGGGAAAGAGATGGAGCCCCTTATTCGGACAGACGATAATTCCCAAGGGGTCTCAACTCTGAGCTGCAAGGACCCGCCCCCCAACGCCTCCCCGCCCCCCCCCCCCTACTCGATGGCAGGAACCACACCGATCCTCACCGGTGGCGAAAGCAGGGGTCCAAGCGGCCGCATCCCTCACCCGCCGGGCAGCCGAGCTCTCCCACCCACTCACTCACCTCTGGGCTCAGCGCAGCGAGCTAGGTCAGCCTAGCAAGTAACGGAGAACGGGAGACAGAGGGACCAGAGCGCGGGCGCCCGCCCCCAGGCCCGCCCTACGGCCTTTCCCAAGGCCAACCCCTGCGTGGGAACGTCCTGCCTCGGCGGGGCGTGGGAGCGCCCAGCCCGCGTCCCTGGAGGCACCCGGGCCCCCAGCCTGGGGAGGGGGGACGCAGCGTGAGTCCCCGCCTCAATTTCCCCGCCCACGGGGGTCCTGCCTCTGGAGACCCACAGCCGACAGCGCCCATTCCCCAGCTGGCAGTGTGTCCTGGCGCAGCTCTCCGAGTCTGGGAGTCCCAGGAGCGGGCTCACCCCGCCCCCCCGCCCCCCCCACACCTTTGCTCCGTTGCTGTTCTTTGCACTTGGAATGCTCTCTTAAGGACTTTGCGAGACCCAAGTCTTGCCAACTTTCCAGCCCCGGCTCAATGCCTCCTGCTTCGGCAAGCCCACAAGCATCTAGAATCTGGGAGCCGCTCTGTGGTGTACCACCTCGCTCCCATGCCGCCATATGTCCTGTGGGGGTGAAAAAAGCCTCCCTCTGGTGTTCGAATCTTAGCTGTGTGGCCCTTGACAAGTGGTCTAACCTCTTAGGCCTTCTAGCACGAATGTCTGGGTTCCTGTTTTATTCTCTAGAAAAGGGAGCTAATGATAGTACCTACCTAACATGGTTGCTGTGAAGGTTAGCTAAGTCAAGAGAAAAGCATCAGGCACGCTTATTCAAGAATTATTTATTAGTGGGGAGCCTGGGTGGCTCAGTTGGTCAAGCATCCAACTTTGGCCCAGGTCATGATCTCACGGTTGGAGAGTTCTAGCTCCAGGTTGGGCTTCGGCCTGCTTCGGATTCTCTGTCGCCCTCTCTCTAACTGTCCCTCCCTTGCTCACGCTCCCTCTCTCAAAAATAAATATTTAGGAAAAAAAAGAATTATTTGTGAAGATCTATTACAGCTGGTATTTATTGAGTGTCTATTGTTTGCCAAGGTAAATACTTGGGGATATAGAGCCAAACAAAACCAAAAACAGTCCCTGGCCTTTTAGGGCTCACAAACCAGTTCCAAGCAGAGAGAAAGGCCTGTGCAAAGGCCCAGAGGCAGAAAAACACAGGTGTATTCAAAGAACAGAGAGAGGCCATCTTGGCCAGCGTGTGATAGGTAGGGCAGAGAGTTAGGGAGGGGCTAGACTCCCAAGTAGGACCCCAGAGGCATGGCATGGACCTTAGATTTTACTTTAAAGATGGGATGTCACCAGAGGTAAGTAGGGAAGTGATATGGTTACATGGAACAGAGCATGGGTTTAGAGAATGTGGCGTGGGGTTGCTAGAATACTAATAATGGTGGCCTGATGAGTTACTCCTGGGAGCTGGCCCACCCTCTTCCCCATGACCAAGGGAATTCTACGTTGGAGCGACCCCTAAGAGGACCACCCCACCTCTTGGATGCTGACCAGGGTGTCCTGAAGAGTGGCCCTATGGACAAAGGGTAAGGGAACACGGTCCTTCAGGCAACCTAGGGAGGGCATGCCTTAAATCCCGTCAGACCTTTCCAAGGACAAGCAGGCACCGGCTGCACAGGAGCGAGTGGCCATGTGTAGGCTTTGCTGGGGCCATGCTGGTGGCCACACCACGCCATTTCTGGGCCTCAGGTTCCCCATCCCTCACAGGACTTCGCAAGGAAAGGCATTTGGGGAATGTGACCCTCCGTTCTGCCCTCTCCCCCTCCCCTGCCTATGTCGGAAGTCTAGGCACCAAATGTGGGGCGATGCTGTGATGAGGAACATCTGTAGGAGAAGCCGCCCCGGGGCTGGGGATGAGGGGATGGAGGCAGCCCTCCGACGGCTCAGGACTGATATAAGGCAGCGCAATCGCCTGCGGGGCGTCGGTCCTGAACCTGGAAACAGCCAGGCTTCCCTATAAGGTAGGTCACTTAGGGAGCCCCCGGGTGCCGAGGACCAGGAGTCTTCCCTGGGAACCACGGAGGGCCCTAGAGGGGAGGGGCTCGGATGGGGCATTACAGGCTAGTTACTGCGATGGACCCTACGCGGGAATGCAGGGTGAGGTTGCAGAAACTGCGGAGTTGGGGGTGGTGAGCGGAATCTATCCCTTTCCCACTGGCCCCGCCGCTCCGACCCTTCAGTGGCAGCCTACAGAAAGGGGCAGCCCTTACTCATGTTATCAGATCCAGGGAGCCCCCGAGATTCTGCCAAGATACAAAGACCAGAGCCACGGCCCCAGCATCCTGCTGGTAGGACCCCCAACCTCTCTTCCCCCACAGCCTATTCAGGCTTCCGACAGGACCCACCTCGGGGCTCCCAGCCCAGAGGGAATACTGAGGAGGACCTAGGTTTCACGAAGGACCCGAAGGCGAAAGTAGGAAAAGGTGTTGGACAAAACGTCGGGGACTCCCACCCCCAGCCCCTCGGGAGCCCCGGGAGCCGGTTGAACCAGCAGAGATCTGGGACTGGAGGAGCGGGGCGGGAGAGTAGGGTGGTGGGTGTCAGGGAGAGACGGGCGGGGCAATGCACGGGTGGGCGGGGCTTATGCTTAGGGGCGGGGACTGGGAAGGGAAAACTAGGGGTCCGACTAGAGTGGGGCCAGTGGGCGGGCCCGGTGAACAGAGGGGGCGTGGTCAGGATCGGGGGCGAGGCCTACCCCGCTCTCCCATAGGAAGGCAGGCTAATTAATGGCAAGGGCCTGTGCTTCCGGAGCCTGAAGACCCACAGCTGCAGGGGCCAATCCAGAAAGCGCTTCGGCAACTGTGGGCGGAAAGGCCGGGTCAGAACGAACGCCGAAACAGCTGCCACCGAGAAGGCCGCTAATGACAGGTTTTCCAGCCCTGGGGACGATGCCTTGCCTGGATTTCTCTGGGACGGGAAGGGACCGTGGGCCTGGAAGGTGGAGGAAACCTTCTTGGGGCGGGTCTGACCTCTCTGCATAGCGCCAGTCCTAGGGCAGTAGTCCCCGGAGGAGGGGGCGCTGCTCAGGGTGGGGTCCGGCTGGTGGCAGCCCCGGCAGCAACGGCGACCGGTCCCCCACTTTGTACACGAAATGCGCGAAGCTAGCAGTGTTCAGCGGAAGGGGAATTCTTTGCAGAGCTGCAGGGACGACGTTTGGGACCGACTACTCTGGCTGTCACTCATGGTTCCTTAGCCCCGCCCCGGAGGCGTCAATCCTCTCGCCCTGCCTACAAGCGGTCCTTATTCCAGGTCGCGCCGCCTGCCTCGTCACTCATACTACACCACCTACGTCCCGCGTCTCCTCCCTCCTCCCCCGACCTCGAGCTGCCGGTGATCCCCCCCGGCCCCTCGGACGGTCTTTGTGCTCCCCTCCTGCTGGGCTCCACCTGGCTGCCACCCCCCGCGCCATCTGCAGCCCGACCCCGTCCTGTCAGTCATACCCGGCCCTGCCCAGCCTCGCTGGCCTTCCTGACTTACCCTGCCGCTGGCCTCGCCCCTACCCTGAGAGGCTCCTCCCCCATCTCTCAGCCCCCGGCCCCCTGGCCCTATCCGTCCCTCCGGCCCTGCCTTCACAAGCCACACTAGTTCTCTCTGGCCTCCTCCACGGAGACCTCCCCGACTCCCCGGCCCCGCCGGCGCTGTCATCCTGCTGCCGCCTCACGCCCCAGCCGCGCCGCGTCCCTGTCAGTCGCTGAAGCCCCGCCCACAAGGCACCGCCTCCCCGCCCCCACCGTCTCCCTAGACCAGCCCCCGAGGTCCCGCCCAGTCTGTCACTCCGCCCCGCCCCCCCCCCCCCCCCCCCGCTCAGGTCCCGCCCACGCCACGCAGTCGGTCGGCGTGCTGGGCGGAGCAGCGCGCTGACAGCTGCTGCCGCGGTGGCAGAGGAACCGGAGGCGGTCCCCTGACTCGCCGAGCTCCGACCGCGGGAGGGACGCCGAGCAGCCACTCGCCACCGGCGAGAGAAGGGGCGTGAGGGCTCGTCAGAACTCGCGGCAGTGAAACCGCGGGGCCTGGGTCCTCGTCACCACCCGCTCACCTCGGCAGATGTACAGAAACGACACCTTAGCTAGTATCAGGGGCGGTGAAGCTGCCCCCCCCCTCCCGCTGTCCCCTGGGAGGCCCACGTCCAGGATTCTAGTCCCAGCTCCACTCTCTGATGGTTTCATTCCCTCTTCCCTGCCTCCCCTTCTGCCCCCGCCACGGCCTCGGTCTCCACATCTTTACAGTATCAGTCAGACTCCAGCTCTGTTCATGGGCTGTGAGGGTGAATGCCCTGGTCTGGGCAGAGATTCTCCCAGAGGCGCCCACACCAGTGACGTATCAGCCAAGCTATGGATGGCTCTACGGGTAGGGTGGGCGACCCTCGGAGGAGAGCAGCAGCGTCCCCACCAGGAGCTAGTCCAACCTGACAAAGGGGTAAGGCGGTGGGATCCTGGAGGTTCGGGGGTCAAGTCAGCCCTGGGGTAGACACAGATCCCTCCACACCCTGCCCTGGGGCTCCACGCTAACCCGGAAAAGTTTGCAGCTGACTGCTCCGAGCCTTCCAGGGCCTTCTGCTCCATCGGCCAAAGGGGGTTCACAGAGCAGGGGGAGGTACCTGGCCAAACCCCAGAACCCGGGACACAACTGGCTCATAGGAATGGCCATATGGCCCCCTGATGTGGCCCAGGCATTTGTGGGGACCTCATGGCCTCCTTGAACCTTCGCTAGCACCCACTGGCCTCCTGGTAAACTCCTGAGCCTGATATTCCGGGTCCCCCTGCCACACTCTCCAGCACAGCTCCCTTATCACCCTCTCCTCTGACGGGTCCCGGCCATGCTGCCCGTTAGCTCTCGGGACACACTCTGTCCTTGCCCATGGCAGGGCCTTTGTCACCGCTCTGCCTTCTGCTGAAATGCTCTTCTCTCTAGAGCAAGACACCGTTTATTCCCACCCGCATGTTTCCGGGTGAGAAAGTTTTACTGGCCCAACACCCCCACCTAGGCCACAGTCTACAAAAAAGTTTGTCAGTATTTGTGGCCTCAACAAAAGCTCCAAGTCCCCATGCTTTTTCCAAT